AAACAAAGATTGATTTGTTTTAAGAGGTCCACATACGTCAAGAAAACATTTATTCTTACCAACTTTTTGTCCGGCTTCTAACAAGCAAAAAAAGCAAACAATTTGCAGAATCAGTTATATTGAAATATCAAATTTATCTCAGGTCACTCTGATTACTGGTTTCAACAGCCAATTTTAGAACAAAATAATACCTGCACATCTAGATTGATGCTATGTATGCAATCCCATTCATCTGGGAAGCAGGAATCTGTATTTGCCATTCTTGTTGCATTATCTCATCGGCCCAAATCCACTTCCATCTTTAAGGGATAAGTTCCTTGCCCTCGTTCCCTCCTTTCCTCAATAGTGCACCACCTAGCTTGTCTTTTGAAACAAGATGAATGAGTGTTCTAATTTTTAGAGCACAAACCAGTAGAAATGTTTTTCATGATAAACTTTACCAATCAAGTGAACTGCCGTCTCATATATGTATCTTCATGCACAAAAACAGGATCTTGGACGCTCTGCGATGGCATCTGTGGGTGACCCATAGCTATCCCACCTTGATTAGGAGCAGTAGAATTGCCCCGTGGGCCAGTGACATTCTTTGCTGAGGTCAAGGTGAGATAATAGAGAATTCCAAGGGTGATGCTTGTGAGGGATAAGACAGCACCCCCAGAAAAGACTCCAGGCTTTACAACATAACAGTAGTAGTTACCAAAGTAAATGCTCTCTTCACCATGTTGGTCATTGAGTGCAGCACCCGTCAGCAACAGTAGAAAGCCAATAACAAATGTGAACCTGGATGATGCATATGTACACATACATTAGATATTAATAAAATATGAAATGCATAGATAATAAGGCTTAATAATTGTAGCAATTATTATTATTATTATTTATAAAATAAGAAGTTCTATTGAGAGAAGAGAAAAAATGAATGCAAAGAATGGAGGGTAAGACGTCTTCCTACTGACGTGCAGAAATCCCTCTTTTACTTTTTCCATAATCGTAACCCTTCCTAATAGTTGCTTAATCCAAATTCCAACCCCCTATTCACCAACAAAATTTTGAAGGCGGAGTGTCTAGTAGACTAATTGTTGACAATCCTTCCTACCAATAAGCAAACCAACTCAATAAGAAAAAAGCAGAAAGTTTCTCACACATGACAATCCTTCCTACCAATCTTCAAATTTTTTTTTGACTGATGTCAGAACCATGAGTAGCTCAACTGCGTCTTCCTCATACTAAAATTTTCTGGTTCAGTAGTCACCTCTCCATCATTGCTATTGTCAAGCCCCTACAGTCCTTATCATTCATTCTCCATAAAACTTAATAACACCAATCATCTTTGATGGACTATGCAGTCCCAAAACCTTCATGGGTTCATTGATAGAACCCTTCATGCTCCTAAATTAGCCATGGCTGCTGACAAGTTATCCACTCAGACTATAAACCCTAGAAACACTCTTGTGGTATCAAAGGAATAATATGTTCATGGTTTGCATATTATTCTCTCTACTCAAAGATTTTTTTTTCCGTATGTGATCGGTCTTGAAACTTGATTGAAGGTTTTGGGAAGCTCTTTACAAGGCTTTTGGCTCTCTCTCTCAAACTCAAAAACTGCACCTTCATTTTCAACTCCAGGAATTGCAAAAGAAAGCTAAGTATACCTCTCAATACTTGAAAGAGGCCAAGATTATCTCTGATGAGTAAGCTGTTGCTGTTTAACCCCTCTTTGT